ACGTTTTATTCTCTGCAGCATGTGGCATATATAATTCAAAAATGTTAAGTCGGCTGCTGTAAAATGCCCATGCTCAAGCCTGGAACTATGGTTTATGGTTTGTGCATTTTGGACAGCAATTTTGAATTCCTTTGTATAATACTCTTTTGTTTCTTTTTTTTTTTAAAAAAAGCAAAGATGCTCCAGTATCACTAACTACCAGTAAAACAAAGATGACCTTCCCAGCAAATGTCCAGACTAAAAAGGATGACAGAGAAAAAAATTCAAACGATATAATACACTCGAGCACTTTACACATCCTTTCCCCTGGCCCTGGCTGTGTTCATTGTCCATTCACCTCGCTTTGTCCCTCCAGCCCTGCGTGGGAGGCCCAGACGGAGACCTTCAGGGCAGCCACTGGTCAGGTTGGCAGACCGTGTCTCTCGCAGCCGCCACCACAGCAGCTGCGCCTTCCTCTGTAGGTGGTGAACGGAAGGCAACTCAGCAAAGGAACAAGCTGTCTGCTCCTACTGCCAAACCCTGAGACCAAAGAGCCCACACAAAAGACACACTAAAACTAAACGCAACTAAAATAATCAAATACATAACATAGGCACGAATGGAAACAACCAGCCTCAGTTTTGTTAGTAGCGACATGAACAGGTTGTGGCAAGACAATCATATGATGGGCTATTCTAAATACGTTAAAGATCCTGTTTCCATGAAAACTGCAGGGCATAGAGGAAGACTCACATGTACCACTAAGTGAAAGAGCTCTATATTCACATTCGGGGGAAAAAACTCTGAGAGAAAATACGAACAGAGGTTAATTGTGGTGGAATTGTAAGGTTCTTTCCTGTACTCTTCTCCATTTTCTATCTTATAAATGTTTTACAATGAGCATGTATTCTTGTTAAAAGCAGAGAAAATTTTTTAACTTTTTAATAAGAAAACATTCAATTGTCCCAGTTTTCCACTTTTAAGTTTGAATTACAACTTTAAAAACCTAAAGCATACAATTCTACATTAATGGCAATGAAGTCTTCAGCAAAGGTTTATGTAAAATACCAAACTTTTTTTTTAAAAAGTTCGAGTATCCATAATAATATTCACAATCGTTTAAATTCAACCAAAAAGAGAGTAACACAAATCAATTTCTTTAACACAAATCATTTTCTTTCCTAATCTACCCTTGACTTCTATCTCTAATGCTTTAGGATGAGCATTGTATTTTACTTGGTATTTTCATTATATTTCAAAGTGTGACTCTAACTAGTGTCACATGTAAGCTACCATGGTATTTCCTTTGTCTTTAGATGAGTGTATCTTTCCCTGGCTAGAATGTATTTGGTTTTTAAAGTGAATTCAGTGACTGTTTTAAGTACAACTAAACCATAACACCAAAAAGATATGAAATAATATATAGAGGAGGAATGATACCCAGAAATGAGAAGAAAACATTAATTTAAAAAAAAAAACCTCATTACTGAAAAATTACAAATGCACAAAAAGCAACAAAAGACTATACAAACAATTCTTGCTTTTAAAATAAAACGTTGTCCTATATGGCCCTGCAGCTGCTGCCTCGGTCATCCACCTCCCCATACAATCATCCACCCCAATATAAACAGCACTGATGTTTACAGCTGGACGGCATTGCCCTGGGTCCAAACCTACTGCATGCTTCCAGACAAATATAAATGATTCTATAATAAATGCGTTTTCAAATTATAATTTTTTTAAAGCATGCACAATTGATTGCATTTAATCCTCCTTTACTCAAATCCCAGTCCTCCCAAAAATCTATGAACAGATAAATAAAACAGGCTTGCCCTACCTTCTGTAATTAGAAAGGGTCCTAACTTACTTTGAAAAAACAATATTCCTCATGAGAAAACTTCTTATAAAGTGAAAATAATTCAAACCTTTATAACAAGCTGAATTCTATGTTTTAGTTCCCGCAAAGACAAATAGCAAGACCGGTAAAACTTACCAGGTTAGTTACACATGACTTTAGGCAGCTGTTTAAAACTGTACACTGACCCACAGAAATCCATAGGCAGCCAAGAGTCACGAAATTGACAAGTTTCAGGATAAGCCAGTAACTGTTCTTCATCACTTCACCAGTCCAGTGGCGGGACTTTAGATGCGCATTCCAATTTTCTCCATTTCGCTATGTGAATTCTTCGGGTTTCATCACTTCAGCTGAAGGAGAGGCTGGTGGACTTTTTTTTTTTTTAATAATATACTTACACCCTTTAGTTTAGACCTTTGAATCCTAGATAGCTTGTCATATGCCCATAACAGCTATTTCATCACTTAGCATTGTTTTACTCCCATAAAGAAAACCACCCACTGACTAAAGGTTAGGAGCGCGCTTCGCATGGCGAGCGAACGAAGTGGGAAGCAGGTGATGCATGCCCAGCCCCAAGCCCGGACGCTTCCCCGGATCACCCACCACTTCACCTTCCTGAGGCGGGTTCGGCTCCGCAGGAAACTGGGTTTTGACCACCTAGACGTTAGCCAACAGTAGCACTGTTATAATAAAATATTATAAGAAAAATAGAAGCGCCTAAGTCAAAGGCTGAGGCCGAGAGGAAAAACAGAACCCTTTGAAACCAAGAGCGTATCTTAAAATGAAAAAGCAAACAAAGATGAAATTAATAGACAAATACTCTGGGCATGAGGTAAAGGCACGGAGGTCTGGTAGAGTGCTTTCAGGAGTTCACTACATATTAACTAACATGCTGCCTTATCAGGTCTAGTGAGACCTGATAGGGAGCTGGAACTAGCCATCGCAGAGACCTAAGATATGCACAAGTGTAACTGTCTTCAAAAGGAAATATTGTAAAAATTTCAATCAGCCCAGCATCAAGATAAGTTAAGCTGAAGTTTAAACAAAGAATTTGAAATCTGCAAAGTACAGCAGTGAGTCATTCCGGGTAGCTACTTTTTAGACTGCTGAGGGTTAACTCTTTAAGGTCAGATGGTTTTGTGTTGCTGGTCTTTCTCTCATGACAATCTAAAGTATCAAATAAAGTTCCTTGTCTTCTTAAATAAAGGATAATAATATACTTAACCTTCCCTTTCAGAGAGGAAGGGAGAGGGAGAGAGAGATAGAAACATCAATGATGAGAGAGAATCATTGATCAGCTGCCTCCTGCACGCCCCACACTGGGGATCCGGCACACAACCTAACAAGTGAACTAACACACCCACACTCCCTATCTGGTCTCTCAATCCTACCACTGCTCAGAATTTAAGGCACCTCATTCCATAGGTGAAGACCGCACTGAGTCAACTTTGCTGGATTTCTCACTTTAACCTAGTGACTCACTTCCATTGAACTTCTGCCCAGAGTGTGGGGTTCCATAAACTTCTGCTAGACATCTCTCCAAGTTTCTATCTTTACAAATAATCTGTTCCTTGACACCTGGCTCCTGTGCCCTAGCTGGCGGCTGAATTTTTGCAGTCAGATCCACTAGTTTCCAAGGCGAATACTGGCACCCTGCTGGCACCCTCCGGTTTGCCCATAGTTTTAGGGTGACCTACCTCCATGCTTCCAGGCACCTTCTATACTCCTGTTCCTAACAAAAGCATTGCTTTCTATTTGTTAAATCTCCTAAATATTTGCATTTTGGAGCCTTTTAAATGTAATTGTAGATTAAAAGTCACTGTCTTCATGGAAGATATTTCTAGACATTGAGACCAGATACTGGATAACCATGTAAGCATTTGACACAAAGTTAGCTCTGAAGTGAAAAGTGCTTCAGTAATAAAGTTAAGAGGTTTTCAAACGCAAAGTCAGGCTCCTGAACCTTTCCCCTTTCTCCCAGCCCTCAGATATCAAGGAACCAGAGTCTACAGCAGAGTTTTCACTGTTCTCCTCCCTCAAGAGTGCCCCCAACCTTTGCTGTTCATGCAGTTTCTCCAGCCCCTGGGGCATTGAGGCCAAAGGACCACACTGCAGAGCACCACCAAAGACCTTGCAGATTGCCCCATACTCCACTGCCACCACTGCTTGGGCCAGAATTGCTGCTGTTTCAAACCCTTGCTCCAGGCATGAAATATATAGACACACAAAACAAAGCCATTGCCCAAGGACAGATAGTGGCCAGAGGACAGGGAAAGCATGAATGGAGTTTGTTCAGACAGGGAACCTCAGCTGAGGGAGGCAGAAACTTTTACCATGAGAACTAAGCCCCAGGACTTTTGGCTTTCAATGAAGTCATACACTTTAAGAAATGTGTGATCAGGGAGACAGAAGATGGCAGCGCAGGCAAATGCCTGTACTCGCTGCCTCCCACAACCACATCAAAACTACAACTAAAACACAGAACAACCATCACCCAGAATCACTGGAAAGCTGGCCAAATGGAAGTCCTACAACTAGAGAAGTAAAGAAGAAAGCACACTGACATTGGTAGGAAGTATGGAGGTGCAGAATGGGCTGGGCTGGCACCCACGTGGGCTGCTTTTTTAATCATAAGGGAAATAGCTCTGAGGAGGCTGCCTAAGAGGAGCAAAGGGTCCCAGCCCCACACCAGATGCCCAGCCCTGGGTCCTAGAGGTGGGAAAAGAAGTCACTACAGGCAGTAAGAACTACAGGCTGTAAAAACCAGTGCAGATTGGGGCTCAGTGACATAGAGGTTGCTAGAGACCCAGCTGTTCCTCTTAAAAGGCCGGCACCAGGAACTGATCTTACAAGGTCCTGCTTCCTCTGAGCGTCAGTACCAGGGCGAGGTTTTAGGGTACACAGACACATACCAGGAGGAACTGGATTGACTGGCATCGGGCAGGAACTTTAGGGCAGCTTTCTCCAGACAGAGGTGCTCACAGTGATCATTGTCCTATGCTGAGGCCTCCCTGATCACAGGGCTGACTGGCAGCCATTTCTGTTTGCTCCATCCTGGTGATTCCCTAATATCCTACCTCATCCAATTTATAACCCCACCCAAGCTGTGGGAAGCAGCTTTCGCATATGAATGGCCTGTCCTTTCTCAGCCTAAAACCTGTCAAACAAGCTGCAGCTGGGTCAGGGAGCCCCAAAGCTATCCAAAGAAGGAACTATCAATAAAAGGCCCAAGACCCAGCACCAGCACCAGCCTGCCTTATTTCATAACCGGGCCTCACCTGGGCACTTCCAAATCCAATACAAAGCAGAGGAATCTGCAGATCTCTCTGTAGCTCCTGCTAGGTAGCCCCAGGCAGTGGCTGACTTTGCACCTCTTTAGAGACTCAAGAGCCAGTGTACCCAGTGGTCAGTGTCAGATCATAACAGATTACAGCTCTACACATACATAAGCGGCACATTCAAGGGGCAGATTCAGTGAGCACCAAAGCCCCACTGAAGCAAGTCCTGCTCCATAGGGGTGTCTCCTGCACAGCAGCTTTCCCACAGCTGGTCCTCACAGCCAATTGGCCTGGAGGCCAATTCATCCCAGTGACACCAACAGTAACCAAGTCTCAACTACCAAAAGACTGTGCTCACAGCCCACAAAGGGGTGCACCTAGAGCTCTCTACTCAGGCAACTTGGGAGGCTGAGCTACTGGGCCCTAGAGAACACCTAATACATAAGGCCACTCTACCAACTCAAGGAGACATAGCAGCTCTACCCAATACATAGAACAAACACAGGAAGCAGCCAAAATGCAGAGACAAAGAAACATGTCACAAATGAGAAGAAAGCAAACTACTGGATATAGAGTTCAAAACCATGGTTATAAGGTTACTCAAGAATCTTCTAGAAACCTCTAAAACCATGGGAAAGGACCAGTCAGAAATTAAACATACACTGAATGAAATAAAGAATAATATACAGGGATTCAACAGTAGAGTAGAGGATTCTGAGAGCATTTGAAATAAGAGAAAGCAAAAAACACCCAACCAGAAGAGCAAAAAAGAAAAAAGTACCCCAAAATATGAAGATAGTGTAAGGAGCTTCCGGGACAACTTCAAGAGTACCAACATTCGCATTATGGTTGCACCAGGAGAAGAGAGAGCGCAGGGTATTGAAAATCTATTTGAAGAAATAATGACAGAAAACTCCCCCTACCTGGTGTAAGAAATAGACTTACAAGTCCAGGAAGCACAGACAGTTCCAAACAAGAGGAACCCAAAGAGGACCAGCAAGGAAGGCTGGTGCTGGTGCTGGTGCTGGGTCTTGGGCCTTTAGCCTGAGGAAGGGCAGGCCATTCATATGGAAAATCTGCTGCACAGAGCACCAAGACACATCATAATTAAAATGCCAAGGGCTAAAGATAAAGAGAGATTCTTAAAAGCAGCAAGAGAAAAGCAGTTAGTTACCTATAAGGGAATGCCCATATGACTGTCAGCTGATTTCTCAACAGCAACTATGTAGACCAGAAGGGACTGGCAAGAAATATTCAAAGTGATGAATAGCAAGGACCTACAACCAAGATTACAATACCCAGCAAAGTTATCATTTAGAATTGAAGGTCAAATAAAGAGCTTCACAAACAAGAAAAAGCTAAAGGAGTTCATAACCACCAAACCAGTATATATATATGAAATGTTGAAGGGTATTCCTTAAGAAGAGGAAGAAGAAGAAAAAGATCAAAACTATGAACAACAAAATGGCAACAAATATATACCTATCAACAATTGAATCTAAAAATCAAAATAAACAAATAAGAAATCAAACGAACAGAATAGACTGGTGAATAAAATCAAATTAGAGCCATGGAATTGGAATAGAATGACAATTCTCAGAGGGAAGGAAGATGGGGGAGGGGCAGGAAGAGATTAAACAAAGACCTTATATGCATATATGCATTACCTATGGACACAGACAATAGAGTGGCAAAGGCCTGGGGCAGGGCAGGAACTGGGTGGAAGGGGGCAATGGGAGGAAAAAAGAGGGACATCTGTAATAATCTCAACATTAAGATTTTAAAAAAAGAAATGTGTGATCATAATTGTAATTATTAACCTGTGAGTGACATGGGAAAAACTCCAACACTGGCCTTATTATAGATACTGAGAAATCAATTTATTTAAAAAAGAAACCCTACTAATAACTAATTATATCATTTATGAATATTTACTATTTATAACTCATTAGTCTGAGCACAAAACCAATTAGCTTGAATATTGACTTCAGACTTAAAAATGTCCTTCCAACAGCACATCAAAGCTCACCTAGGAAAGAGTAGAATGGGACTCTTTCAGATTTCTTTGCTTCAATAATGATTGTTCCTGGTAAATCAGGAAATGGTTCTTGACCCTTGATATGCATGGAGAGTTTACTAGGTGGTAGACATGGTATTAGATTTCAAAGAACTTTATTTCTCTTCTCCACTACAACAGGTCTCTAACGCCAGAGCCCTCGCCTTTTCCCTCTCCTGGAAATAGTACAGTGATTAGAACATGGATTCCCATATTAGCCTATGTCCCATCCTGGCTCCATCTATGAGCTAAGTGAACTTAGGAGTTAG